GAAAAATGCCCACCTAGACATTATTTTGGGTCCATTTTGATGCTACATGTTCACCAAGTTCTTAAAAAATAGTTAGTTTTGACCCAAAAATCAAGAAGGTTAAAAAAAGGTTTAACTCTGGTTAGCGTTAGCTTGCTCATGAAGTTTAAAAGACAACTTATCAATATTCGATTTAAGCAGGTGCGCATCTCTTGTTTTTTTGTTTGTTTGTTTGTTTATTTTTTAAGGGGTTAAGGTCAAGAGCTCATTCTCTCTACTTATTCGTGACTGCTGATGGGAGATTCGCTGCCTCAAACTACATTATCATCATGTAATGATGTAGCTAAATTAAATTTCCATTAACATCGCGAAAACTTAGATTTGCTCACCGGCTGAGAAAATCAGTCCAGTGAGCCACCTGTCCTAAAAGAAGCAGGGAATTGTTTTCAAACCATAGAACTACTGGGGCACTGATCTAAAATATTCCGCGCTTTGTTTTTAATGGGACAATTCAAAGTAAGTTATCGATGAATTGCCTTTTGAGCCGTAAATTGGCATTGCATGACGTAAATTTTCTCATCTTTTGCACAACTTGTGGTAGAAGGAAAGAAGAGAACATGGATATTCCAGTTCACGTAAGCGCTTTCTGCTTCTGGTTATTTTTTATCAAGGTTGTGTTTTCCGCCATTGAAGGTAAGTGCTCTAGCCGGTCCAATCTTACAAGGTTTCCGACTTCTGTATGTATATGGTCAAAGACGGAAATCTCTCGCGTGTGATCTATTCGTTCTAGCTGGGTCAGGGCCTGTTAGAGATGCAAGGCCGCCTTTGAATAGAATTGAAAGATTTTAAAACAGAAAAACTTCAAAGACATTATGAAAGTGCGCCAGTTTAACATTTAAAACAAAATATTTTATAAGTTTAAGACATACTCTGCATGTTCAAATAATGTATTTAGGTACTGCGAATAAGCTTATGCGAAAAAAATAAATTATTTTCATGTCGTAGAAGAGTTTCATTTAAAAGCAATACGTTAAGGCCCGGGGTTCAGGCGGGCCTCAGTAACGTTTGGAATCGGCTGCGCACTTAAACGATTCAACGTTACCTTCCAAACACTGTCAGTTCCAATTCACTTGAAAGAAATCACTTCCAACATACGGATTAACGTGCACCGGCACTGTTAAAACTAAAAACATAGCCCAGCTTCATACAGCAAATCACCGAGACGGAAAGCATGATACAGGGTCTGATACTATTATATTTCCGGAGGGGAGAGGATACTATATAGCAAAAGGACCTCCTTCAAATTTGCAGATCTCTGACCAACATAACGTCAGTTTTCCTTTTGTAAATGTATTCAATGTGCACGTCTTTATTTCTTTATTTAATTTAGTTCGATCTTAACATTTTTTGTTATCGTTTGTACGTTCTATGTACATAGTATTTTAAGGAGAACATAGTTTTCTTTATTATTGGAACATACATGTACACTACAAAAAACCACGCTTACTTGCCATGGCTTCGAGAAAAGAAAGCCACCTTTTCTTGACTTTCACTGCATGGAACAAGGTAATTATCGAAAAGCAGAATAGGGCTAAGTTTTTTCTTCTCTTTTGAAAGTAAAAAAGCAGGTGTTCATGATTGTTTCTTTATCAATCAATAATATTGTATTTAAAATTCCAGTCGAGAGAGTTTATACAATATACAGACCCCATGGAAAGTCTACCGTAAAGTTCCGAAAGTAACGACCCCTCGCGAAAGTATAGCGAACCTCCGAAAGTAGGGAAAAAATGTTACAGCTTCCCGAAATTAAGTAGCGATACCCCGAAAATAGCGACCCTTCGAAAGTAGAGACTTCAAAACGTTTTTCACTTTTCCAAAAAATAACGAATATGATAGATATCCTGAACAAATGCCACACTGATCGGAGGTTTATCAATTAATAATGATCAATAAATATAAAAACAAAAAGTGTGACCTTGCAAAAACGAGCCTGGGAGATTAGATATACTTTAAAATGTCATGCACGTTATAGTCTTTATGTACATGTGTAATCATGGAAAATTCTAATGAAATCGGTGCCGAAGCGAAAGACACAAGCAAAATATCAATAATCGGAGCTAAACTTATTAAACTTTAAGTTTTTATCAAGAAACTAAAAAAGCACCCAGTGAGTACGTTTTTTTCTAAACCAGAGATTTTTTGAGAGAGTATTTGCGGACACTGTTGATGTAAGCGCGAAGATGACTGTTCGTTCTTTTTCAGATAACTGTCGCATACTGACGTTTCCAGGGTCGTCCTTTTTCATTAGCAAGCGTTTGGTGAACCACACTATAGGAAATAAAATTGTTGCTGATTTTGAGAACTGCAAGCTTCATTGCTTCTTTGAATACAATTGTGTGAGTGTCAATTATCAAGAGAGTACAAAAAACGTAATCCGCAAAAACTACACAATTCGCGCTGTAACTACGGTTAGAAAAAAAAACCAACGACACCGAGAAACGATGTTTATACTTTTACCCGTTTTATTTCATTTATTTGATGTAAGTTTTATTTGCAATACAAACTTCAATTATTTTGACCCGTAACAACTCTCATATTGAGCTTGGGTTACCCTGTACGAAAAAAAAATTATCCAGCTTCTCCAAGACAGCCTCACTCTAAAAGCTGTGGTTGCCTTTTTAAATTTTTCAACCTCCTAATACATACTTAAACATCACTGGTACATCGATTTTTCAAAAAAAAAATTCAGTTTTGACCAAATTCTTTGTTTAACACTTTGGCAAGATGGCCGCACCCAAAATTGAAAAATGCCCACCTAGACATTATTTTGGGTCCATTTTGATGCTACATGTTCACCAAGTTCTTAAAAAATAGTTAGTTTTGACCCAAAAATCAAGAAGGTTAAAAAAAGGTTTAACTCTGGTTAGCGTTAGCTTGCTCATGAAGTTTAAAAGACAACTTATCAATATTCGATTTAAGCAGGTGCGCATCTCTTGTTTTTTTGTTTGTTTGTTTGTTTATTTTTTAAGGGGTTAAGGTCAAGAGCTCATTCTCTCTACTTATTCGTGACTGCTGATGGGAGATTCGCTGCCTCAAACTACATTATCATCATGTAATGATGTAGCTAAATTAAATTTCCATTAACATCGCGAAAACTTAGATTTGCTCACCGGCTGAGAAAATCAGTCCAGTGAGCCACCTGTCCTAAAAGAAGCAGGGAATTGTTTTCAAACCATAGAACTACTGGGGCACTGATCTAAAATATTCCGCGCTTTGTTTTTAATGGGACAATTCAAAGTAAGTTATCGATGAATTGCCTTTTGAGCCGTAAATTGGCATTGCATGACGTAAATTTTCTCATCTTTTGCACAACTTGTGGTAGAAGGAAAGAAGAGAACATGGATATTCCAGTTCACGTAAGCGCTTTCTGCTTCTGGTTATTTTTTATCAAGGTTGTGTTTTCCGCCATTGAAGGTAAGTGCTCTAGCCGGTCCAATCTTACAAGGTTTCCGACTTCTGTATGTATATGGTCAAAGACGGAAATCTCTCGCGTGTGATCTATTCGTTCTAGCTGGGTCAGGGCCTGTTAGAGATGCAAGGCCGCCTTTGAATAGAATTGAAAGATTTTAAAACAGAAAAACTTCAAAGACATTATGAAAGTGCGCCAGTTTAACATTTAAAACAAAATATTTTATAAGTTTAAGACATACTCTGCATGTTCAAATAATGTATTTAGGTACTGCGAATAAGCTTATGCGAAAAAAATAAATTATTTTCATGTCGTAGAAGAGTTTCATTTAAAAGCAATACGTTAAGGCCCGGGGTTCAGGCGGGCCTCAGTAACGTTTGGAATCGGCTGCGCACTTAAACGATTCAACGTTACCTTCCAAACACTGTCAGTTCCAATTCACTTGAAAGAAATCACTTCCAACATACGGATTAACGTGCACCGGCACTGTTAAAACTAAAAACATAGCCCAGCTTCATACAGCAAATCACCGAGACGGAAAGCATGATACAGGGTCTGATACTATTATATTTCCGGAGGGGAGAGGATACTATATAGCAAAAGGACCTCCTTCAAATTTGCAGATCTCTGACCAACATAACGTCAGTTTTCCTTTTGTAAATGTATTCAATGTGCACGTCTTTATTTCTTTATTTAATTTAGTTCGATCTTAACATTTTTTGTTATCGTTTGTACGTTCTATGTACATAGTATTTTAAGGAGAACATAGTTTTCTTTATTATTGGAACATACATGTACACTACAAAAAACCACGCTTACTTGCCATGGCTTCGAGAAAAGAAAGCCACCTTTTCTTGACTTTCACTGCATGGAACAAGGTAATTATCGAAAAGCAGAATAGGGCTAAGTTTTTTCTTCTCTTTTGAAAGTAAAAAAGCAGGTGTTCATGATTGTTTCTTTATCAATCAATAATATTGTATTTAAAATTCCAGTCGAGAGAGTTTATACAATATACAGACCCCATGGAAAGTCTACCGTAAAGTTCCGAAAGTAACGACCCCTCGCGAAAGTATAGCGAACCTCCGAAAGTAGGGAAAAAATGTTACAGCTTCCCGAAATTAAGTAGCGATACCCCGAAAATAGCGACCCTTCGAAAGTAGAGACTTCAAAACGTTTTTCACTTTTCCAAAAAATAACGAATATGATAGATATCCTGAACAAATGCCACACTGATCGGAGGTTTATCAATTAATAATGATCAATAAATATAAAAACAAAAAGTGTGACCTTGCAAAAACGAGCCTGGGAGATTAGATATACTTTAAAATGTCATGCACGTTATAGTCTTTATGTACATGTGTAATCATGGAAAATTCTAATGAAATCGGTGCCGAAGCGAAAGACACAAGCAAAATATCAATAATCGGAGCTAAACTTATTAAACTTTAAGTTTTTATCAAGAAACTAAAAAAGCACCCAGTGAGTACGTTTTTTTCTAAACCAGAGATTTTTTGAGAGAGTATTTGCGGACACTGTTGATGTAAGCGCGAAG